AAATTTGTTGCAAACTCAGTCTTTATTGACTAAAAGCAATTCTTCATTTGCAGAGAAGTGCATCCTGGGGCTTGTAACTGTAAAAACAAAAAAGCTCTTAGTGATGTGCATCCTGAAGTGTAACAAAACTACAATTGATTGCAGTCTGTACTTTGTGTCAAACACCAGGAAATACTCAGCAGAAATCATCAAATCCATCTGACTTTTTAATGGGCTATAGGTACTATACTGTGGGAAGCTTGCAAATGAATACAGCTCTAGTCTAGCAAAACCAGCACCTGGCTTAGGAATGTGTATCTAGAGAATCTGAACCTTTGTGGCAGATTGGTATGGTTTGCTGTAAGGTTTGGTGGTCTTAATAGAAATCTTTCAAAAGCCAATTTTATTGAAAGCTGTGTTCTCATTACACCAGTTTCATTTGAGATGTATCTTCTGGATTTCTAGATTAAAGAACAAGCTTAAAAGGAAATGATTATTTCTGGAAGAATCTCTGTGTGAGCTCTTACCCATTCAACACTTGCTATAGAGACTTTGGTGGTCCAAGCAATTCTTTCCTACCCATCTGTCCCAGTATTCCTTTATTTCAACTTGGATAGACTTTGTGGTGGTTTAATGTAAGAAAATACCTTCTTTATCCTTCAAAGAACCTGTTTTGGAAGGTTTTAAGAGCAGTTGTGGAAAATATATCCAGTCATATCCAAGTGCATGTAAGTGAACTTCAAGGCTTAATATTTGATAATTCTAGGGATCCTGACTGCACATAAAAATAAGGATATTGTATGTCTATGCAGTGGAACACTCTAATACTGCAGGGGCAGCCCAGGATGAATTGAGTGGTTCCTTATCCTTATATTTGTGCTGTGGGATCCCAGAGGACACTTAGATCTATGGTTCTATGTTAACCTGAAACGTAGCCCAGGAAAAGATTAGAGCCTGTGTATGCCGGACCCTGGACAAATGTGTTTGAGACAAACTTCTAATCTGTCAGAACAAAACATTTTTTCTCCTGATACAAGTTTTATCTTACTACTGATGTAGCTTCACATCTGAAATAGCCCCCACAGGTGGGCAAGTCCTTTGTTTTATTTCAGCTCATTCTGGAAATGTGAATGAAAATTAAATGTTTACTTGAAGACAACATTCTGCAGTTCTCCACTTTCACCTCGCCTATTTTCCACTTTTCTTTTGTGGATGGCACTGTTTGCTTTTGTTTCTGAGCTCTCAATCAATCATCCTTGCCAACTGCTGTCTGGAAATGCATCACAACCTTGAGAATGCATGGAATGTGCAGCACTCCTTGCCTGCTAAGACACTTGCCAATTTAGCACTTAACCAGAGTCTGAAAATGTGACTTCTCCAGCCTGGAAGAGCCTTCCAAGCTGCATGATTGAATGGGGACTTTTGTGTTGCTGTCCAACTGTTTGTTGCAGAGCAGGGGGAGCTGTGGGTTTGGTCCAGTGCCTAAATCCACAAGGCTTGGACAAAGACACATGGCTGATGTGATGCTGGGTTTATTTATACATAAATGCCTTCACGCTGCAGCTGTGAGAAATATACAAAGCCCTAATTCAACCTTCTCATTATGGCATCTAGTGTTAAGTTACATATCCACTACTACCTTCTGTATCCATCAGTAGTTACCTGACAAAAGTAGATGCTGGGAACTTCACTATAATTAATGCTTTAGGATTAAAAAGCTGGCTGGAATAGGATGGCTGTGTTTAATCTGACAAATAGGTATAACAGTGTCTTCAGACATGGTGTAGGCCAGTTAAGCTTTGAATTGCAGCAGTTCAGTAACATCTACAGTGCAAAACTTCAGGTGGTGGAGTTGTTTTTAAATGGAATGATTTTTGATCAAAACCAACACAGCATATTTCTGACCTGAAGGTTCTTGGTAGATTCAGTAAGTTTTTCTCCCCATTGTTGCTGATATTAAATAATGTTAAAGTTCATGCTAAAATAAACCATAACGGAACATTGCTTCATCTGAATTAGTATGGACCTGTGACAGAACTAATGGTTAAAGATTTCTGGGTTGGTGACTCTTCCCTTAACTGTGGTTATAAGCCTTGGCAAGTCATGTAATCGGTGTATCATCCTCTCCTGAACTGGAGGTACTTGCCATCCTCATGTGAATGATGTATCAGTGCTTTTGAGTTTGGCAAATGTTAATGTGCAGGTTGTAGTTTATGAAATAATACATGGTTAGGATACTTGCAATAGCATGCTGCAGGTGCTCTTAAAATAGATTAAAAGCAATTGCTGAATGTTTTAATTGGTATTTCACTATAAATGAACACTTTGAAAATTCATTGGAGTAACGATCTCTGTGATTCTTCTGGTTCATACTTAATTATTGCTAATTTTAATGAATTTGTTGTTCTGACATTTTCTGATCTTTTAGTAAAATCTCCTTACATGAATTCCTGTAAGAAGTGCTGTATGAATGCCTAGAAGTATTATAAATAATGATGCATCAAGTCATTGCTTTCATAGTATACTGATGTGTATCTTCCCCACAGATACAAACACAAGGGGACAACTATGTTTATGATACTTTTTAGTGACATCTGGCATTCTCACAGGAAGCCTGGTGCCTGCTTGTCTGTTGGGAAGAGCCACATTTATGACTCCAAGCCAAGCTGCAAAAGGGAACATTACTGTTAGTAACTATAAAGGAATGAATGTGATCAGGACTAATGGCTTTAAGTTAAAAGCAAGTGTTGATATATTTACTTTTGTTCCCTGTGAACAAAAATCAAAACTGGCCAGCTGTTGAAAGTACGGAGCTGTTGTTTCCTCGTACATGCTCATGCATAGGAAGTCTCCTGACCTTGGGCCTTGATTCTGCAAACGTGTACTGATCATTCATTTCAGCTTACAGAAGTATTTGCCCTAAGATAATGTGCTGTGTGGCTTCTTGCAAAACAGAAAAGATCCCATCTTCCATGCAGATTCTACCAAAAAAACATGGCTTATGTTTAACCTACCTTTGAAGTCTTGAACTAGAAGTGGGAATATAGATCATACAAGCCAATAAAAGCTCAGTCACAGAAGGCTGCAGTAGTTTGCCTATGGAATATAGACCTCTGCAGGGATTTTTGAGTCAGTATTTCTAGAATGCTTTCATCATGAAATTAAATTCCTGCTTAACAGAAGAAACTGGTGACATCTGTGCTGTTCCTTCCAGCGGCTGAATAATTCATAATTCCATGAGGCATGCATTTGGTCAGATATCGAGTGCATGTTACAGGGTAGTTTCCAGTACAGACAAGGAATTATTAAATCTAGAGTAACAGAAATTCCTATTCTTTTATGTTGCCATGATAAGAAAAAGCTGTAATCTTCCTGCTCTTGTATGATTTTACATGCATTTTTAGCTAATTCACATACATCAAACAAGCAAATATAACAGTCGTGTGAAACTTGGTCATAATTCTCTTTGAAAAAACAGTGGTATGTATGGACACTTGGAAACAAGATATCTGAACTAATCTGGTCCCCTTTAATTACTATAACCTAAAAGTACAAGGGCAAAGGATGCTAATATGAAAAATTAAACTTTTTCTAGCCAAGTTCAGTCTTCAACTGAACTGAGTCACAGGAAGTGGAAGGTGATTAAGGTGTGTGTGAATTGTATCTCAGGGGTGGGACCTCGTGTGTTCATCTGTAAGACTTCAGACGTGCTTTCTTGGAAGATAACTCATTTGATGTACCAGAACTTTAGAAAATGAAAGTTTACCCTCACTGCATGACTTTGTTACATGAGTAATGCTGCATGCAGAGTGCAGTGAGTCAGAGGTGAAAAAATCAACTGTTGCTGAAGTTAAACAGCTGCTTTTAAAAAACAAGTTAAACTGAGGTCCTGTGGCTTTCATAGAGGTGTGAAAGCTTTTCAACCTATTTCAAGCCTACTTTGGCCCTTGAATTTTGTACTTTAAAAATGCTCAATACCAACTTGCGTTAGTAAAGGACTGACTTAAGATACACACTGGGCTTAAACTTGTTTCAAGTTTGTATATAGTGCATTCATTGTACAGTGGTATCATTAATTTGTCCTTTACTTTTATGCAGCTTTTGAGTGTAAGCGGAAATAAGCCACGTAAGACAAGTTGCAAAATCATTCAGGAAAATTGAGGAAGTTTAAAACAATTTTTTTTTTTTAATTTTAAAGAGAATAAAGAAACATTGCAAAAAAAGACAGTTTACATTATAATTTTTATTTCCAAAGCTTGAAATTGTAGTTCAAGGCACATGAATGAAACAAAAGCACATATAGTTGACATGTTTAGCAATTATTGACCATATGGTTTATCATGATTTTTACACCAAACATTTAAGTGCCTTAAAGTTTAGAAAACATGATGCATATCACTTGACATACAAAGCCCTTTGCTCTGAACTCTGCATTCAGCACTAAACATGCCGCAGAAAAGCTGTGGACTCCAAAGATGCTTTATATCTTGCTAACATATTCTGTTCTTATTTTGCACACATTAACAAACAAGCCAACTATACAGTTAGGAAAAAAAAATGTATATGCTAATTCAAAAGCTTCTACATATCAGCTCTAAAGTGGGCTGAGTAACTGGCTAAAGTGACCCATCAAAACTGGGTATTTTCCAAGCACCCTTTAATTCAGGATGTGTATTTCAATCCCTGCATGTCTCTGCAACAGGAGAAGACAGGAAATTCCTGGTGCAGCAGTCAGAAGAGCAAGCTTTCAGCTAGTAGGTCAGTTCCAGCTGGGCCTACCATGTTTTGCCACATAATGTAAATATCAAGAGCAGAAAATCTGTATCAGTAGTGGAAAGATTTAGCTTCCAATATCTATCTTGTAAATAATTGGTTCTCTGTGAAGCCAATCCCTTCTTTTTGATACATCATTTGGTAGATAAACATGCCACAAGCACTTAACCAGCCAAAACCACTTAAGATTCTGGAGGTTTTTTTAATGCTTAAAATGTAATGTGAAATAATCTTTGGTAGTGTTTAAAAATAAAGCTAGGATACATATATTACCTGCAAATCACATTTCAGATGTAAATCTCATTGCTGCTGGGTTTTTTCTTACTGTATAATCATTTTGTGCTTCTACTAAACTCCTGGTTAGTAAAAACCTTATGAAATATTCCACACTCTGTAGTCTGGGGCAGTGGGAGTCTGTATTGTGTGGGATCCCCATAGATCTGGAATTTTTCAACCGTATTTTCCATGGATCATCTTCTCACACAGATACAGGAATAGTCTTTAGTTTTTATAAGAAGCACTTGTATTTTTCTGGTGTAGAACAGCGTGGCTGCTTGTTTCAACTGTTTTCAGGGCCTGTAGGACAAAAACACAGATGTTTTATGTTCATACTTACCCAAACGTTACGCGGTCTTTACTCTTTCTTCTTGTATGTCTTATTTCACTTTCCAGTTCATAGTTGAGTACTATTGATACAATGCTGTATCAATAGTACTCAAGAAATGTAGTGTGGTCTTTTACTAGTTTGGAGTTTATAAGCACTTCAGATTTACATGGCACCAGTGAATCTTGTTGATACCAAAACAGCTTCTACGAATGTCCAGAGAAATAAGATAAAGATCACTTGTGTCACATGTTATCCCACACTTCCAGAAGTTGGTCCTGTAATACTTCATACTGGATTTTACCTCTGTGCAGTGGAGTAATCCAAAACCCATGCACCTGATGACTATTATAACTGCATGAACGCAGTGTCTGACAAACTTCTCTGAAGTATATGAGTGGGTTTAGATCACCCACCTCACATTGGTGCTGTGAGGTCATGAAACAGGTTATTGTGTCAAAACAGCATTAGAAATTCCCAAAGCAGTCCCTGTGACCTTGCTCAGAGGTTGGTGCTTGTTTGAAAAGCCTGAGTAACTATTTACTTACGAGTACCTGCCTGACATCTTCCTTACAACAGCAATGATGATTCCTGCAAGGATTCCAACTGCAACTATTACTCCAATAATTATTCCAACCAGTGCAATTGTTTCCAGACCACCTGAAAGAATGTGGGGAATGTTAGCATGTTTCTAATGGAGACCACTAATAGAAGGCTACTGATAGAACTGACAGTGTTCTGCTGCATCTCACTCTTTGGGGAAGGTTCCCTTATCTTGTGAACTCTGAATTAGGCTGGGTAAGTTAAGCAGGCTTTTTGTAACCTATAAAAGTGCTTTTGGGCTGAGGGGCTCCATAGAGATATGGCCATGGGGACAGCAATGGGGTGAAACAGAGGAAGAGTTCAGGGAGCAGCTTGTGACTCCTGCCAAAACTTTTATTTAAGTATAGCATGGGCATCACTAGTAGCTTTTTGAAGGGTATCACCTGGCAGTTACGTTCTCCCTTGTTTTTGTAATGGTTACTTCTGTTCATACCTTTTTCAGCTTTCTCTGGCTCCCCACTCAGTCCACCTGTAAAGCCAAAGAGAGAACAATTTTTAATTACCTGCTCAGCTTTGTATGGAGTTTTCCATCCCAATTTTTAATGCTGTATCCAAGGAAAACTGATCTACTTATCCAAGGAAAACGTTTATCAAGCTTTTATTGCAGTGGTTTGAGGGTTGTGTAATAGGTTGTTCTTTCCACAGAAGTGAGCAAATGAGAAGCTTGAGAGAATGAATGCAAAGAGATCCCTGAAGTAACAGAAATTAAAATCTAAGGGACTGATTGATCTTATATATACTAGTGAAGCTTAAGTGTGATCACATCAAGATCAACAAGGATATACCTGGTAGAAAATGATTAAGACAGAAATCAGATTTTAATTGAGATGAAGTTATGCTGATAAGCTGACAGCAAGGCAGACCTTTATTTGCTGAACTACTCTTTGTTAATAAAGGCCTTTTTTGTCAGTTTGAAAGATCCTCAAGTTCCTTAAGTCTTTTGTGTCTGGAAGATTGTATAAAATCTGTTTAGTATACTTCTCTAATCCTGGAATTTTTAGCTGAGAACTCATCAGAAACAGATGAAACACAAATGCTGCTTTGAATTCATTACAAGTGTGTAAGCTCTAATCTTTCATGTATCCTTTTAGAAACATCTGAAAATTCTCCATAAAATTCAAATCTGCTGAACAGTTTGTTATTTAATGCTAAGCTGAGAAGCCTACACTCAGCAGAGACAAGCAGGCTGGGAAAGGAGATAAAAGCATGTACAATTTTTAAACAAACGTGTCTGATTTATTGAGGGATATAAAACTGCTGTAGAACATGAAAGCTTCAAAAAGAAGCTAGCAAAAGAGAGGTGTTTGTTCATAGCTGCTGTCTAGAGGTAATTGGTTTGGGCTACTCTGGGGAGAAGCAGTAAATAATATACCTACTACAAGACTTTGTAGAAATCCAGTTGCCACCAGGTCTGATTTGAGTGTTTCAAAGCAAAGCCTATATGCTAAAACCAAACTGACTTGCAGTGGGATTGACAGATGCCATTCATGTGAATTAAGTTTATCACTAACGTATTCTGATAGGGGAACCTGACATATCTGTGAACCTGATTGACTTCCAGTATTTCTAATCTGATTGTTGAGCTTGTACTTGAGGTAGAGTCCAGACTGAGCATCTGTTGGCAACAGCTACTACTGTTCACATTAAATGAAGAATGGTTTCTTTGGGTTTTCTTAGACACTCTGCTGAATTTGCATTTGGTTATCAGAAAGTTGGTCTGGAAACAAAACCACCTCTTTTCTCATAAAGGTTCATCTGACCACTTTAAAATGAGATCCATTAAACTTAAGACTAAGTCAGTGGTACTGTTATATGACTGAAAAAGCAGAAATTATGATGCTTGTGTTCTCTCCCTTTTTACTGGTATGAGAGTGAAGTGCAAGAACAACCACTGGTGAACAGAATGATATAGCTACTCTTTCCTATTATGAGTGCACATCTGTGATGAAGTTAGGATGAAGAGTGATTATTGAGTAATTTTAGCAATCTCTTTTCAGCAATGCTACCTTTGAGACCAACTTCAACTTAGTATTTGAATTTTCCAGGTCTTGTTTAGTAGGTGGCAGTAGAACTTTGATATAATAAAAGAAATTAAAGAATTTACCATCAGTATTTTCTGTGTTGCCTTCATAACCAGTAGAATTATCACTGTCTTCAGCTGGGGCAAATGCACTTTCTGTGGTCATCAGTTGTCCAAACTGCAAGAGATTGGTTACGCTCTGTAGTCTTGTGGGCAACTACAAGAATTTGGGGGGAGAAAGAGGGGAAAGAAAACCTCAGTACATTTGGTCTGTATGTATGAAATAAGCATTTTAAATCTCTTGGTCTGTCCAGTGGAGGATCTCTTAGCTATCATATGTCATCTTTGATTTGTGTACAGTGACGGGAAAAGTAAAGGGATTTGTATTCCCAGCCAGAGGCTCTCAAGATGGGATGACCTCTCAGTAGCACTATGGAAGGTGTAGGGCAGCACTGCAGAATATTGCAGACCTGCCTTTTTCATTGTTTTTCTTTTTTACAGATTGTCAGTTTGGTTTCACTGAAGCTAATGGAAAGGTACTGTATTAAAGGTAAATGGCAGCACATAAGCAGTTATGAATGCTTTTTACAGCACAGAACTACTGTCAAAAAAAGTGTTTTTAACTTTATTACCTTCAACCTGATTGCTTGCAAAACAAAGATATTGGTGTTAGAGCTCTTATGTTAGAACTCAAGATTATTCTTTGTAATGATTATTGAAAATGTAAGACACAAGACAATACCAGGAATATGAAATCAGGGTACCCTAAAGGGACCTTTGTTCAGAATGATACTCACCAGGGTTGGTGATTCTTCAAGTTCTGTGTCATTTCTGAAATCTGTTGTTGCACTTTCTTCTCCCTCTACAACTGTGCTTGCTGAATAAAAGTTTAGGAAGTGAGTTAGCATTTTTCTTGGTAATCAGATGTCCTGCCTACACTGACATGGAAATTGTGTTAAACACAGGATCTGAGTAGTGTTCCATCTCCTTTTCCCTGTGCACTTAGGTTTGCAAAATTATTTAGATTTCTTTGAATTCTGCTATAGTCTTGTGCAAAGCTGTAGGATAAAGAGCTGAAATTCACATCACTTAAACCTGGCACAACCTTGAAGCTTACTGGTTACTAAACGCATTGTCTAAGAAGAGATTTCTTTAAGGAAAAAATTTCCCCCTTCCCTCTGGATGGAGGCAACTACTCCAGATCTAAAGTTAATGCTTAACTTATGTATTTGATAAATTACTTCAAGCATCTTCCACTTTCTAAAACAATAAGAGCTTTCTTCCATTTTTCAGCTCAGTCCCAGCTACAACCTTTATTTTTAGAACTATCTTGAATGTTTATGGGTGTATCTGTAGTTTAGAAAATATTCCTATACAAATCCATTCTGAGCTTTTTTCTAAGTTGAACACGTTACTTGCTGAATATTGCTGAATAAGGATTTTTTATGTAACAATGTAAGGTCTCCCTTTTCATTCTAGACCTATGTATGTCACCTGTGTTCTTTGGTGTAACAGACATGCAAGTTTTGACCTTCACGATGTTTTTACAAATACCTCAGACTTCATCAATAGGAAAAATAAGATGGAACAAGATAGAACATTAAAGATGAATGTATGAAGACAACTGGTAATATCAATATTAAACATAAGTATCATTTAAGTTTCTTGCTGATTCATAAATTCTGACCATACACAGTATGATGCTACTGCAGTATGGTATCTCTGGGAGTTTCTGATTCAGTGTGCTTACAAAGCTTGGTGAGGCTGCTGTTATGCTGCTGCCTGGGGCATAAGGGTTTCTGCTAACTCCAGATACCGGTGTTTTAAATTTAAGCTAACAGCTAATAATAGCCATTGTCCTGAGCGAAAACTGCAGGCAAAACCCCTTAAACTTCTGAAAAATTCTTTCCTGGATTCAAATTTTGCATCTAACGTTAATTTCAGCAATTGAAGCAAAAGTTTGTCCAAGTAAGTTGTTGCCAGGAAATACTGCAGTGATGGCTGAAGGTTAAAATAAAAATGTTATTTCAAGTGAAGAAGCCAATATTTAGTTTTGAAACAAGTAACGAAATTACACTGAGCACTTTATAGGAAACTTTTCATACAGAGGATGAATGATTTGACATTGGAAAAAAGCAATCTCTGGTTTTGCTTGAAACTCTCACCTGAATTCTACTGGAAACTTGCAAATATTTTTCCTTGCTCCCAAAACTCAGTTTTGAACCAAAGTAATGCTTTTTCATCCATCTCTGGCATTGTAAGACTGAGAGCTTTGTCCAATTGCCAGGAGCCAAACACTGGTCTAAACTTAAACTTCTAATTCCTGGTTTACCCAAGTAAATAGAGTTTTCTATTTTTACACCTTTATAAACCCAAATGCAGATGCACTTTCATTTGAAGAGCCAAAAGGGTGTGCGAGTAGTACTTGAAACACAAACAGATGAAGAAAGTATATTTATATTATGCCAACATGAGGTCTAATTAAGCCAGTGAGTCTCCCCAAAATCATCTTCTAATCCATGGACAGTCTGGAACAGGCTAAGATAAGTTATTTTTACCATCTAGCTTAGAAATAGGATGTTTTGGTCATTTTTGATTGAAATATCCCAGGTGAGCAGCCTTGCATATTTTCTGTTGAGATAGCATAGAGGGGCCTGATTTAGGTGTCTTGCTTTAGCCACCGTCTACCTATCAGGGCATTTTTAAGATATGGCACTACTTTATCATATTTTTGTAAGTGTCTTTAAAGTACAATATTGTACCCAGAGTTTTTCCTTTATATATACAAAGTTAACTTCCTATATTAGCAAGCAGCTTCTCTGAATATACTCTTGGCATGCCAGTAGCTTTCAGCCCTGGAGAGTTACCTGACAGTGAAGGCAGGACAGTGTCACACAGCAAAGGTGGAAAGAATTAGTTTGTCACAAAGAAACATGAAACCATTATTCTTTGTGTGATAAAGTTATTGCAGATTCTTGGCAGTGAATGAAATGTAGAAAATCTCCTTCAGTGCATTTGCCCTCTGGGTACAGTGATTGATAAAAGGAGGTTGCCCAGATTAATCTGGCCTAATTTTAGGTTCTTAAAGGGGCCTAAATAAATGTCTGCTTGCTCTTATCTCCTTTCATAGTCTGTAGGGAAAGATAAATCTAGAAGGTAATTCAGCTCACCTGAGATTTGGGTCACCCTAGGTAGTGCTGCCTTGCCTTTACTGCAAAGGGAAACGAGAATAATATTGCTCCCCTATTACATGCCTCAATCTTACTGATTTCTGTCATCACATCCCAGTCCTGTCCAATCCACATAATTCTGTGTTCAAGCTGAGCTGCAGGATATGCAGGGGAATAGTCCCTGACTGTATTTTTAGGTTTGTTTTTCTGGCGAGACAGTGGGGGTGGTAGTTAAGCTGACACTACTAACTGACCAAAAGACAGACTGGGATGTAATTTAGCAGTGTACTACATTTGTAAGAAGGAATACTTGATACCAGACAACTCTTTGGCCCAGAAAGTCGTAATAGAGTAAAAAGTATTTAACTGGAATTGAGACGAACTATTGGACTTGAAATGTCTTTCCTTCGACCTAGTACAAGGCACATATATCACTGACATCAAAGAGACTGTAAATAGGATGCAGGGCTGTATGTGCTTTAGTTATTTGTTTGTTTTGTCTAATGTGGGTGAGTGTAGCAAGAGCCATAGGGTTAAGTAGTGCTTTTGTGTATGTTCTTGATATGATCTTCAAGGAGGCTGCAAATGAAAACATTGCCTCGCAGTGCTGTGGTTGTCTCCAACCAGCATTATAGTCTCTTCTATTTGCAGCTGTATGTTGCTGCAGATGTGAATGATTCATTGCATCTCTTTCTGCCAGAGTTCCAGCTGGGTGTGTTTCAGTTCAAAGTCCTCAGCTGCTATCAGGCTGCCAGCTTCTCACACCAGGAGAAAATGGGATGCCTTTAAAAGTTTAATACTGCTTTGAAACCATCCCATGGTTAAGCATCCCATGACCCACTTAGGGGAAGATGAGCTCACTGCTCATTGTTATGCATGGAATGACAGTTTACTAGAAAAACCTCTTAGGGTTGCTTTCAAAGCACAGTGGTTGCGTTGAAAAGTGAGTGGTAAAACTGTTGTTCATTAGCATTTCTTTCAGATATCTCCAAACCCAACAAAGATACTTCTGAAGATGAAAAATGTTGTAGGATCTTGTTTCTTTCCTGGCAGCCTGAATAAACCCAGCCACTAGTGAGCAAAGGCAGCTGTAAGCCTGTATTTTAGCTTAGTCCTCGAAATAGGAAGCCCTCAAAATAGAATGTTTCCATCTCTGTGATAAGAGAGCAGTAGATAAAAATGGGTAACCTTAAAGGATTCCCTCTAGCAAGAGCTGAAATAACCTTTATTGCTCATTGCCCCTCTGTGCCTATTAAAATAAAAGCAGCTTCAGTTATTTATAACAGCTAAAAAAAAGAAAAAATCTGCAGGTGAACTGTTAAACTAAAGCTTTGAGCTGAGAATTCAACTTTATTTTTATGTGTATCTTACTGATATCATATTTTATCCTATCCAGCTGTGCCATATAGGTGCTTTGGGGAATGCTGCTCTAGAGAAACAAGGGAAAAAATTTAGTGGGACAGGTCACTTGAGAGATACCACTCTTGTGCATCTGGACTTTACTGATGTTTTTCAGTATCTGCTTCCTGAATTGTTACAGGCCAACTGGTGGTTGAAGGACTGTGTGTGTACATGTGTGTTGGCTGTCATGTTTTGCCAACATTTTATTCAGCATTTGTCCTGATACAGGAATTCCCTTTCTGAGGAAGTACTCTTCACTCACAGATCTGAGCAAAGTAGTCTTAGAGCCTGTATCTTGTTATTGGAATCAATTCAGCTCTAGTTCAATGGAAACTTTTATTAATGGTGGTGGAAGCTGAACAAAACTGTGTGATTTGATAAGGTTATCTGCCCTCAGAATACAGAATGTCTCAGCAGCAGCTCTGTGATTTTCAAAAACAGTTTTGTCAGTGATTTGGCTTCATCCTCAATTTAAATATATTCCAGAGTCAGGTCCAAAGCCGACCTCATCAGCCCAGCCTTCTCTGGTAGGAGTTTTCCATTATTTCTCTATAATTAAGTATTTTCTGGGATTTATAAAAGCATATAGTTGTCTTTGTGTGTGTGAAGTAGTTTCATGCTGCCAAATACAGGCTACAGAATTTTTTGCACTTAGAAAATTTGAGGGTTTGAGGAATATAATATAGTTTATGCTGAGTTTTACCTTCTGGATTTTGAAGTTTTGGACAGTTAAAATTTTCAGGCTCTTGAAAGGAAGTTCTTCATGGAAACTGAAATTCTCATTGTACCTCTGGTTCAAGCATTATTCATGACATCTGCAGTACCCTGAGCACTTTGCATCTTTACCCTCTTTGGGGCCACAGCATTGGCGTATCTTGTGTTAATTCCTTCTGGTAGTTGGACTAATGTATCATGCCACAATAAAGAAATGCCCTGATGTATGATTAAGTGTCTAGGCTTCTTGTTCAGGAGAAAGTATACTGTCTGTGTGACTCCTGCGATGCTTACTACAGTTTTCTTTCACAAAGACTGACAGCTTTGCTTTATGTAATCAAGGAAGCTGGATGACAAAATACCATGATTGTATATCTGCCAGTTGAAAAGTGGCCGTGATGCACAAGAAATGATTTAGTTCAGCCTTCTTCAGAGTATGGCTGCCTTTGTTCAGGTAATCCATGTAGCTCTTGATGACAGTGTTTTGCTGAATTGTCAGAAACATATCCTTTGGTCACCACACCCTACCACAGATGGTTTCTATTGCTATGACTGGCTTAGCCAAAGGAACAAAATCAGAGTTGAATTCTACAGTGCCAAGTGACAAAAAACTATGTCCTGGGTTCAGCTACTCTGCTGCTTCTGAAGGAAGTCACATGGCTTCTGAATGTTACAATATTCTACACAGCTGTATTTGATACCCACAGAAAAGCAAAGTATATTTTAACTGGGCAGATAGAGGGGAAAATAGCACTTAAAGAGCAGTGATGTGTATATGACCCACAACCAAAGCTATGAAACAAAGCCACAGGAGGAAGTGGTGGTAACTTACTAAGCTTTTCTTGTGCATGATAAAATTGACCACAGAGCTGTGGGCATTGAAAAGGAAAAGAATATTTAATTCCATTATGGGGTATTCCTTGGAGAACTAGAGAACTAGAAGTGAATCTTCTAAGATTTATGGGTTTAATACTGTTGCTGTGTCAGTCTGTGATTTCTTACGTGATAATTACACTGAAGTCAGGGTTGTTATCCCATGAATGTGGGGTAAACCGACTTTCTTACAGTATTTTCTGTTATCCCATGAATGTGGGATAAACCGACTTTCTTACAGTATTTTCTGCCCCATGACCCTGCTGCCCTGGTTGAGGTCTTACTAGCAACTTTGTTGTTGTTGTTCCCTCTGAGCAGTAAGGGTTTGACTGGGGCAACAACACTGGACTAGTGATCAAATGTAAGTCTAAGAGAATATGTATTGGCTTGAAATGGTGTACACATCTGAATTGTGCCCTCACAAAGGAATATTCTGATGCAGTTTATGCTAGATGTTGTAGTGTTTGTAACCAACAAATACAAAGATGGAAAAAAACATGAGGAAGTCTTAAAGCAACATGAGAACGTGCTCAGCATCAGCTTCTATTTGCTTTGAGAATCTTGGCCAAGCTTCTGAGAAAGTGAGTTAAAATCAGTAGTAAATTTAACATTTTTTCTCATTTGTTTCTCTGTAGAACATCCCAGCATACCTATACTCCCAATCCTACATCTCTTTCTGAAACGCTCTGCAGCCTGTTGTGCCCCACACAGCCATGGGAGCTTTGCTGTAGAATGAATTCAAGCTGAGGGTATGGTATGTGCACACGCAACTTAGAGGAGGCCGTTTTGGAGGCTGCCTTGCCTGCAGCATGAATCCAGGATGCAGTGAATAGTAGGACCTGGCAGCATTTGGGTTCCATCCTTTAGTCCCTAACCACATCCAGACAAAAAGCAAACAAACCAACAAAACAAAAGTGCAGCTGAAACAGACCATGTGTTAGAGCTGGGCAAACGGTAGTTTCTGTGGCCTGCATGGATGTATGGCTTGCCTCAGAGGACATGAGGAAGAAACACTGCATGCTTCTCTCAGAGCCCAACAGCCTGAATGCTGTGGGTTATCATTTACTGGCATTTTATTTTCTATTAAGACATGCTTGAGGTTCTCAGCTGCTGGTTTCTGCAGATGACTTTCAAGTTCTAGATCTTGGGTAAATGCATGGGTTCAGTGGAAACTGTTGAATTACAGGAGTGGAGAATCTGGGTGCCTTTTTTTCAGTTTTCACTGTGCAGCCTGAGTTAAAGTTTGCTTGTAAGCTTTTAAATATGAATCTTTTGCCTGTAAAGTTACACAGATTCAAACCCCATCTTTTGTGATAGGGATGGGCAAGCCTCTCTGAAGCCTCTTTGCTTTCCCTGTGGAGTAAGCAAATTTCATCTATTCTCTGCTGGTCTTTTACCAAGATACTGCAAACCAGAGTCACTAATTTGCAGACTTACTAACTGAGATCCATTAAGATGTTTTTCTCTTCTTTGTGATGAATAAGTTTGGGGTATTGGACATGAAGAGCTAGATTCATCTCATGCTAATGTAGTTTTCCAGAGGCCTGTGTGGGAACACATGCACAAGTGCACTCATCATTCATGATGCAGCCAGATGCAGAGTGAAAGGCTTTGTCATGCTTACTGAGTACAAAACTGATCCTTGTGAGTCACATGTGACTGTTCATTTTGGTGGTTCATTTTATGTACTACCAGCAGTTACCCAGTTTGATTTTCAGAAGTGTTTGGAGTAAACCAAGATCTGTTTGAAACAATCCTTTCTTGTTATTTTGTTGATTCTAGTCTTCATGATTTTGAAAAATATAAAATACTTTTTAGTCTTTCATATTTGACTGTAAACTTCAGTTTTCTCTTACCATATAAACACTTTTCATCTCAATTACCCTATGTGTTTACTTATAGTTCAACAGAAATATAATGTAATGTGACCTAGTATAAACCTGTTTAATGGAGACTTGCATAAGGAGATACAATCTAATATTTGCCTCTAGGTAAGATCAGGCATGTGGACAGTTGATGCAGCTCAGGTGACATGTGGTAACTTGTTAAACAATCTCGTTAGTTTTTGTTCATGTTATGTGACAGCCAAGAGAGTCATCTCCTTCCCTGCAATGATACCTGCACCAGGGGAAAGGTTTCAGACTAGGAAATGTCACCTCCGTAACCACTTGTGCCTTTAATTGTTTGATTAATGCTGTGCCCAGAAAGAATCAGGTTAACTTCCATTTCAACTCATTTGGTCTGATCCTGTGTGCAAAGGTTTGGCTGAGTTCTTATGTGCTGAACAGGATCACAGGACAAAAATTATCTGCTAATCATTGATAGGAAACATTTAGCCTACGAGAGTCTAAGGATTCATCAGCTTGTATAAGAGTGCTCAGGGCTCTCTTTGCTTGTAAGAACAAGAAAGTAGTTGGCTGTTTCAGTGAGGATTTAAACCATGAATGGATAACACAAATAGAGTGTTATCCATCAGCAGATACTGATGAAACTACTCAGATTGTGGATCCCTTTTTGAAGGGTGAAAAATGCTATGCTTAAAACTAGGATCAACAGCTGAATTCAGTTTATTTGGCAGTTCAAGGAGGAATTTGGAACCAATAATCTTTTTTGGACATACGCTTCCTGATTGAAACGAACCTGCTTTTCTTGAGTCAGTCTCAATCCATAAAAGAATGTCCAAATATAACAGAAGGATGGCTGTAGACATTTTTCCTTTAAAACCCTCAGGCCAAATTGTCTATTCCTGAGGTTCAGGTATCTGAACATACCCACTCCCCTGAGTATTGTACGAGCCTAAAAACTTCTATTTTCACTAGCAGTGCAGGCACAGATTGTCCAGGGTGAAACTGTCATTCTAAGTCTAGTCTAACTTACAATTGCTAATGGGTATCAGTAAACAGCACTGATACACATGCTAAATAATCAAGACTTGCTTATTTTATATCTGGAGTCTGTTTTCCTCGTGTTCCCTTTGGAAGTCATCTGAAATGACTTGTTCCGCATGAAGTCATAAAACCTAAACAGACACAGAAGGCCTTAAATACTGTGAACTGTGTTCTAGATCCAAGTGTGGAGTTCAATGCAAACTATATCGGAAATGGAGGTAGAATCTTGCACGCAGGAAATATTTCAGCATTCTTTTGGCTGGCAGGATTTCAACCTGAGCATTGCTGGGCTCCTTCTCTTAGGGTTGAAAGAAAGAAAATATACTTAAAAATTCCCCAAAAGCCTGTGATGAAGATGAAAGACCTTTTCCTACAAGAAAAGGCATCTGGTATTATGGTATCTTAGAAACTGCTGGAGAGAATTCTATGAATTTGGGATGGTTTTTCCTCATTTCTCATGGCTTTAAGCTTTGGTCCAGGTAATACTGATACTTTTTCAGGTAAGCTAGCTCGGTAAGCCTAGAAAGGAATAGTTGGGACTTGCCTAATTTCTGTGGATTTTACATTTTCTGTGAAATTTTGAAGTGCAGCTCCCAAGCTTCCAGCCTCACATTCTGCCATCCAGTCCAGAGCACCTGGAATTACCATTAGAAGTCTCAAGCCAACATTCACACATCCTGTATATTGATATAGCCCCACTATTCCAGCAGAATGAGAGAGATTGACACCAAGCCAAAATTAGGTCACATCATTCAGTTAGGGTCCCTAGATCTAAGTCAGACAAGTAGATTTATGCTTTGGAAGACAAGCAGGCTGAGTCTCTGTTTATTGTTTCAAAGCACTAGGACTTGGGACATGTTCCATAGCAACAGCAACTGGATTTTACCACTACAGGCATACCTCACACCTCAGGCACGTTGCCTGATGGCCAATTCATTCATAATGAGTCAAATACTATGCAGAAAGAGTGGGGTTTTTTGAATGCAAAATTCCTGGAATCAAGTACTGCTCAGGGTAATTCTGATTTACTGTTAATCAGACTCTTCTTTAGCTGTAAAAAGACTTAATCTGTTTTACCTTAAAGTGTGTGGTTTATTTTTCTTAAAAAATTATAAATAAATAGTTTGCCAAATAAACTTCCTGATTAGATATGTAATGCTCTTCAAATCTATCTTGCGTAATAATTCTTCCTGGTTTCCCTCGCTTGTATACATTGCTTACGGCTAAGTTAGTATTAGCAAAATCCTGCATAAGGCTCAAATTCTAAGCTGTTGTAATGCCTCAAAGTACCGAACCTAAACTCTTGAATGGAAAGATTTACAAGTTACTGTCACAGAGTTTCACCACCTAAATATCAGTTACCACTAAATTATTGCTTGCAGTCATCTTTGCATATATACAGTGAAACTACAAACATTCCAAGGGCTGATGCTGTGCCTTCCCTGTCTGCTTGTACCCTTCTTCCTTTACACAGACACACAGAAAATGCTTTTCTAATAGAGCATAACTCATCTGAAAACTTTGGATGTGTTTCTTTCCCTATTACAGCCATAGTAGATGCCGAGGAGTAGCTTAAGGATTTGAAGGAAAGTTTCATAAACAGGACAGAGCAACTCTATTGGCTGTGAGTAAGGACACAAACTGTTACATTACAGGAAATAACTGGAAATCATTGTAACCAACATTTCTTCTTACCTTCTTCCACAAGTGCTACGAAAGGTACTCTCCCTAGAACGAAGATGAAGAATTGAACTTTGATCATAACAAACATCTTTGATCTGCTTTGAGAATAGTTTTCCAATCCTGAGACCAGATGGACCCAAATTCAGATCAATTTTTGGAGAACTGAGATCACAGAAAGAAATCGCTGCAAAAAATACTTTGGTATTCCAAATATTCCTTTAACTGCTGTAGTCTAGAGGGGGAAGGTTTTCCCAGATGATAACTATACAACTAAGGAAAGCTGAGTGGAGTCAGCATTATTTGCTTTAGCGAAGGGGTGGGAGCATGCCTAAGGTGGTCCTCAAAGGGCCAGGCCCGCCCTCTGCATTCTGTTTGGTCAGTACTAAAATGATGATCTCAGCCCAGGTTTAAAGTTACAGGAGCTGTGGCTTTCAGAAGACTCTTATTTAGTAAAGGGGGAAAGGGTATTCAGGCAGAGGGAGGTGTTCAGGGAGTTCTCTCCCTTCTGCAAACTGTCCTTAAGAAATATTTAAGGAACGACGCTAAGGACATTTTTCCTGTTATTTCCAGCAGGGAACTGATGTTTTTTTTCATTTCAAAGTGAGCACCCATGTTTATCTGAGCAAGTGTGGTAGTGGATGTGCAGTTAGGGAGACTGAAATAGTTTTAGGACAGGACATTTAATTCTGCAGTAAATACTGTCTGAATTTTTCTGCACGCTGAAGTCTCTGTTGTGTCCTCAAGTGACATCTAGCTTCCTCCAGCATCGGTCTCTGCCCACAGGCTTGCTGGGCTCGTCGGCATGCTAATATGACCCTGCAGAGGTGGAGGTTTTTCCCTTTCTGAGGGAAAGTATGTAGCTATTAGTAGTAAAGCTGTACAATGGTCTATACAAGACTAGATATTTTTTCTTGTGTATGTTTCTGCCCATCAGCATTCTATGGCATGAGTGCAAGACTAGATGAACACCCTACCAACATCTGTAACAGACACTACTTCTCACAAGTCATGGTGGTTAGACAGGAGCTGGGACTGAATTAGGACCTGGGAAGCAATGATTTATATTAATCCTTTTCTGAATCTTCCCTTGTCTTGGGCAAGTAATAATCTAATGATTGACATCTGTTTAGCAATGTGGTGAGTTTTAATCAGGGTTCACATGTGCCAGTGTGCCACATGGCTGAGTGGAGGAAGAATGTAACCTCCTTGGGTTTCTCTACCTCAAAGTCCTGTGGTGCCAGGACATTAGGCTCTGAAGCATAGATTTGTTTTCTTTCTGCTGAGAGCTGTGGAGGAGGTCAGCTCTGCAGGAGAGTGGGGCATGCTTATGGAAGAGGTTTTGACTTACAAAACAACTCTGAAACCTGGCTACGTTGTTTTGCTCAGTGAGTGATAGTCAGAGCTGACCCCACAACGCTTTGTTGCACTATGAAGGAGCAAAGCAAGTCCAAACATAAGCAGTGGTAGTAATGTAAAGAGGGCTGCAGGTAGGAAATGCAACACCTTCCATAAGGCTTTTCTTTTGAAAGGGATAGGTGCCAAAGGAATTTCTTAGCTATAGATCTAAGTTATGGTGCTGTAATTGTACTCTTTGGATTGAAGAAGACTAGGAGAGAAGGATTTCAAATAGTCAATGCAAAGAAACAACAGGCAATATTGGCTCATTTCTTTAGAAAAACAGTGAAATATTACCATCTACTAACTTTCAGCATGTCACGGGTCTTAAAATCTGGGATTAATTATTCCTCGATAATGCAGCTTCAGATTTACTTAAAGAATGTTTGCTTACTGGGCAATGCCATCATGTGAAGCTGAGATTTGCTGGGGGAGTATGTCAGTTTTAATGAAACTTACTTTGGAAAATGGAAACAAATCATTTCTACCATATCAGAGCAGAATATCTGGAATTCTGTCTGTATTTTCAGAACCAAAACTGAATGTAATACACTATGAAAGACAAGCTGGAACAAACAGTGACTTCTTAATGTTAACAAGTCAGTAGGAACAAAGAGAAGGTATTAGGATTTCATTCAGTTTCCTTCAGAGGTGCCCTGAAGACATGTCACGTTTATTCATGGAAATGAATCTGCCTCAGGTTTAAGAATAAGCTTTTCTCAGGAAGGACAAGCTCTTTGCTGAATGAAATAATGTTTTCCTTTAAACAGTAGTGTATTCTGGGTATAGAACCGGAGCTCTTGAGCTTTCAGGGATTGTAGATGTCCAAGTTCCAGTGGCTACTTCAATACTTTCTAACATTTTTAGTATTCTTCCCAAAAAGGAATCGTTTCTCCTATAGCAGCTATTTCTACTGCTGCTCAAAGAAAAAGTCTGTAGATAAATTTACTGAACTATGAAGAATTCAATAAAAGCAGCTTCTATCACGGCATCAAACTGATAGATATACAAATATAGATATATCAAAGGTATACAAAGAAAAGGAAAAAAATTTGCCTACCAAGTTGGTGAAAAAAGCTAGAATTGTCTTACTATTTGTCATCTTGCTAATTGTCCTTAAGGAACAATGCAATTGTTAGTGTTGAACCAATTGTTCCTTGGGGACAACAGTGATAGGAACTTGCCTTCTAATGGTGTCAGCATGTTGCTGAGTAAGGAGATTAAGGCTGGGAGCCATTGCTGAGCCATCTGATTTAAACCATCAACTAAATTCTTTCAAAAGAGCCAATACATCCTTGAAAGAGAGCATGGAGCCAGGGAGAGAGGAAGGAGCAGTTTTCCTCTGAACTGTAACAAATCAATAGGTTTTAATGAAACTATAGTTTAACATATTATCATCTGGTTAAGTCAATAGGGTTTGTGAAAATGAAGGAATTATTCTAGGTTCTGATTTAACAGTTCATCTGTGTTTAAAGCAGCACTGAACTATGTGCTCAGCTTGCTTCAAAACGCAAGTTAAGCACTTACTCTATGTAAGTGCATGTCTCTGGGAGTGGACTTGCACATGTGCTCCAGCGCTGCAGTGAGCTGAGGTTTAGGGCTATGAAGAGATGTCGGAATTTGGTATTTTTTGTTCTGGGTGTGTTCTGACAGTTCCCACAAATTGCCAGGATATGAGTGCATGGGCGCCCTCCTTTTGTTTTCGTCAATTTTTTGGCCAGGCAGCTCTGTGTGGTTTTAATCACAGTGGTTTAAGGGAGGAGGTGGAAAGGGTCTTGAGTACAAGCAGCCCTCATGTTTTCTTTTCATTATCTGTCCTTTCTGCCTGACTGTATCAGTCATGTGCACAGCCTTGAGAGGCTTAGTCTGTCTCTAGTTCAGCAAGAGCAAAGAATGAAACAGAGCTGGGGGGTAGAAAAGTAGTGACTGTATCCTGCAAAGTGTTATGCCTCAGTGGGCAGAAGTGTGGGATGATGTTTTGTCCTGAATCAGTGTTGCAATATGAACCCAGGAGTGCTGAAGTCAATAGAAGTCTCCCTGTTGTCGTAAGTGGGCCTTTAAAGAGCAGCTCTGGTATGAGTGAGGGCAGCTGTCCTCTGATCCTGTGTAACTCTGCTCATGCAGGGTGTGCATGTAGGCAGCTCAATTTCTGTGGCTGTAGGACTGCTTTATGTTAGCATTGGTCCATCTGCCTACATACACCCTTCTGAAAGTGCAGTGTTTTGTTGTGATCTCTTCCCTGGTATTATTTGGCCTTATAACTGGCAATGGTTTGGCAGTTTATCCTGGAACTGGTTGCATTTTGCTGCTCATGGAAATAATCTGTATGTGTACATTTAATTCATCTAGCTCCAGATTTCCTTTCCCTGCAAGGAAACACTAGGATCCAGAAAGTAAGGAATGCTCCACAGGGCAGAGTGTGACAATGAGCTCTGGGGAAAATGCTGACTCAGCTCCTGAAGTTAATGGGCTGGAGGGAAGAAGGGATGGTTGTAACACAGCTCCAGATGTTGCATGAAGCTGTTAATTATACTTAGCCTAAGATGACAACAAACTTGTTACTATTTTCCTGACCATGCTTCAGGAATAATTCCCCTTTTCACTACAGCCACAAGGAAATATATATGGAGAGAGAGAGGTCTAAACTTCTTAGGGCTGTGTTACCAGAATTGATATTTGATTTTTTCTTATGTTGGACTGTTTTAGAAACCCTTTGAGCACACCTGAGTCTTCTAGTATGGAAATTCAGGAGCGCCAAGCATGCAGAGCTCCTGTAAACTGTCTGAGCCTGGCCATGCCTGTCCCTTCTGCAGGCCCAGGCTCTAGTGTCTCAGACTGGACAGGAGGTTTCTGCAGGTTTGCGTTATGTATCACAAGAACCTGCCTAAACATCAGTTAAGAAAAATGCAACCTATGGACAGAATTTGCATTTGATTTCCACCTCCAGAAGAATTTGGTTTGTGGATACTCTCTGCTTCTGATTTATTGTTTTCAAAGAGTAAATCTATTATATTATGTGAAAGATTCAAAAATGGAGATGGGCAGTTCTGTACAGCATGGTTTGCTCAAAGGTTACCTCACAGTAAAGCAAAGTTGAAAAACTGTAGCTGTCATTCTGGGTCTCCTCCTCTTTCAAGTCATTGAACATCTCCTAAAACTGAATTGTGTGTTTTTGTGTATGTCAGTACCTGCCAAAAGGGGTGGGGTTGCCCGAAAAGGGGAAACAGGAAATGGTTTGAAAATTAATAAAGCTTGCAGAAAACAGTTTCTGTGCTTCTGACCAAATATTGCAGGAGCCACAGCTGCCCCTGGGGTACAGAAACAGGAAATCTGGCAACAGAAAGAGATGGTATCTTTTCAGTTCCAGAGCAGATTTGCAAGGGATATAATCAAATAGAATGCTTAATTTCCACATTTTGAGTGTAATTCTAGTGAAAGAGTAGGAAATACTGGTTTATTTTGTATGTGCTGGGGATACAGAAAACTTCTATGGGGCAGAGTTCTGTGGAAGAAGAAATTCTGGCAGCGTATGAGCTGCATATTCATGGGAAATAGGGTTAGTCAGGCACAAGCCCGGACATTGAAACCTGTCAGCAGTGTCCAGTCTCTGACAACTTGTGAGACTTTGGGACAGTAGAGGGGTAATTTGGATATTCCTCTTTCAGAGATGAGGCATTTGTGTTCCCTTTTTACATGTGTGTATATAGAGAGAAGTCATCTCTCTATATGCATTTGCAGGTCTACATAGTGGACTTGAAACTGAGTATGGATGATTATGTTCTCATGTTATGGGGTTATTTACATCGAAGTCAAAGATTCTTAAAAGGCTTTGCAGAAACACAGACTCTTGCGCTCAGAAATGGCCTTTACCTTCCCTTATTTACAAACTGTTAAAGTTGAAGTCCCTAGTATCTCTTCATTGATT